ACGATAATATTTGAGAATAACATCGATCTATAGTGATTCGGGATCTCTGAAAAAAACATATATTTGGTTAATATTTTTTATCAACATTCAGTTACTCTGTAGGAAAAAAAGAAAAAGAAAAAAGAAATGGAGAGGAAAAAAACATTTCCCAATAATTCTATAACTGAATTAATAATCATGCTAAACAATAAAAAAATATGAGAGAGAGTTGAGAGAGGTGTGTGTGTGTGTGTGTGTGTGTGTGTGTGTGTGTGTGTGTGTGTGTGTGTGTGTGTGTGTGTGTGTGTGTGTGTGTGTGTGTGTGCGTGTGTGCGTGTGCGTGTGTGCGTGTGTGCGTGTGTGCGTGTGTGCGTGTGTGCGTGTGCGTGTGCGTGTGCGTGTGCGTGTGCGTGTGCGTGTGCGTGTGCGTGTGCGTGAGCATGCGTGAGAGAGAGAGAGAGAGAGAGAGAGAGAGAGAGAGAGAGAGAGAGAGAGAGAGAGAGAGAGAGAGAGAGAGAGAGAGAGAGAGAGAGAGAGTGCACGCATGCAGATTGATGCAAATTATCGGCTCATGCTCAGCCATACACCGATTAGTGACCATCCAGGCATGCTGTAGACCATGCAGACAACTAGATGGATCAAGTGAGACTTACAGCCACTGTGGAGCCATTGCGGCCAGCTCCTCTCTCTATCAGTATAATCTTAAAGTTATTAAAGAGAGCAACTGATGCTGCTATTACACCAAATATTGTAGGTAGACATCTGAATGGCACCAACAAAACTGGAACCTGGAATACATTAACCATGACAAAGAAAGAACTTATATTGATCACTTAGGCTATGATCAATAATCTACCTTACAGCAAATTTCAATATGTCTTCATATATATATATCATAAATATGCTAATATTTGAAAAAAAAAAAAAAAGTAACAACAATAAAAATTAAAGCAGAAATTATATCAATAATGACAATGATGCCCATGACATCAATATTATTCTAGTCTTAATATCTCATTTATACAATCATCATTAATACCAATATCTTAATTTCTGCAATTTCAACCAAAGGCAAAAAAATTGCAGTAAAATGATAAAACAATAAACTAACACATAATATGAAAATCAAAATAACTGAGAGCCAATGAAATCCCATGCAGCATTTACCTATTTATCTACCCAAAGAACATTCTTCAAATAAGATAGACTCTATAAAATAGACCAGGTGATATATGACCTGAGATTAACCCATTGGATCCAGGTAACAGGGACATCTTGGCATGAAAAAAAAGTGGCCAAGAGGTCAGTTACAGGAATGTCTCTTCATTAGAAAATTTTGGCTGAGGGCTGGAGTGCCGAGAAAACCGTGCCATGGGATAGTGTTGCCAAATGTGACGTGACAGGAACATCTTGCCATGAGTGTACAAAGCTTTTGGAAGGAGATTGATTCAGTGGGCCTTTAGGAAAGGACTCGTGTAATATTTCCTGCAGTAAATGTTCACAGAAAATTGAATAACATTGAAGAAAATATTCTAAAAATAACACAAATAACATAATGTTCCTTACTGTTACTGATATTGCAAAGAGTGTAAACTACATGGTATGTATATTATCAATACTTTCCTTCATAGAATTAAATGAATAGCATAGATCTCAGAGGCATATAATTAAACATTCATACTGAAGGTTACATTAAGACTCAAGTTTACTAACTTTGCAGAGAACATGGAATTATACCTTATACATCATACCTTATAAACAGGTCTATTGCCATCTTGATAACAAATAGACCTAAAAAAAAATGGCAAAACACCAAAAAGGCATCACTGAAAAAAAGGGCTGATACAATTCCAAAGAAGAGGCATGGAGTCTCGATACCACACGTATGTTCATTTCAGCCTGTCCTACAAGCAACACACCCAGGGGAGTCACCACTGAAGTGTGCCTAAACCCCGGATTTTGGACTAAATGCAAGACATAGGCACCTGGATCCAATGGGTTTAAATAATACTAATGCGTAGAAATGGTGTAAAAATTTGGATGGAAAAGTATTGATATGTATAAATAATAGTGTTAAAATAATATGGACAGCAATAAAATTGGCCTGGATAACAAATATAATAATATTTCAAAATAAAGTCTGCCAATATTAGATTCTATAGAAGTGGATATAGATATTTACTGTAATAATCTTATAAAAATGTTCAGCTTTCCTAAAACCGCGCACATTTTGATGGAAAGGCTTCATTCATATATATATAGCTGTTCATTGACATTTTTCTAGGCAAACTATGGGTGACAAACCCAAACATCTATCAATATTTTCTATCCTAAAACAACAACAATATTAAGTCATTCAAAGCTTCTACATATTGACTATTCAAAAAATAGATATGCAGTTTCACATTTTTACACTTTTGAGTTTAAACATGTACAAAGGACATGCCTCTTTCCCCTCCTTTTTGATATGTGAATGAAAGTAACCATTCATATCACCATTCATATCATTGGTATTAGAATT